CCCCCCCCCCAAGGACCAGTTTGCATACCCTGAGGGTGATGCAAACTGTGTTGAGAAGGCTCCAGAGTCTTAGAAACAACAGCTGGGTAATTCTTGAACAAGCCGAGGAGAACCTCCAGGGTTTTAGGAAGTAGACAGTAGACGTATGTCCAAATCTAAAACATTTAATGCTTCTGGTGGAGCAAATATCAGGCCCACAGAAACCCCATGTTTTACTGGCCAAAACAGACTGGAAAAGAATTACACTATTCTCATTGAACAATTGGTGTTACAGTGGGGAAACCCAGGGAGTGAAGGGTAGGGGAAAAGTCTCACACTCCCCTTATGTCAACCTGTGGAGAGAACAGTCTCTAGCTGGTTGAGGGACACACCATCGCCACTCCAAATGGTGCTGTTCCGGGTGAATGGATTTGCCCCCAAAACGCAAGCAGCTTCTAAAAGGGTAAGTCAGAGGGAAGCAATATCCTGACACCTACTTTTCCCCCTGATATACCCAGCACTGAGCCTTCTGTCCCATGAAAAACAGTGACGGGCATCCTCAGGAAGGAGTCTGCAATCTTTGGATGAGAAACATTAAATAACCAGAATAACCGCTGACTTTTCTGTGAGCTGGGTGCTGGGCGGTGGACTTCACAGCCCTGTTTTATTTCATCCCACGATGACCCAATGAATGAGGTAGGCACTGCTATCACCATTTCACAGATGAGGCAACTGAGGCACAGAGAGGTTAAGTCACCTCCTGGAGGTGACAACTAGATTTGAACCCCACCCTGTCTGAATTTTAAGATCCAGGGTCTGGGCAGGTCCTATTACAAAAGGGTTGTTTCTGTCCTGACCACAACAGGTTAATGGACAAGTTGGAGAAAAAAGCCATGCCAGCCCGGCCAGGGTGGCTCAGCAGTTGAGCATCAATCTATGATCCAGGAGGGCACGGTTCGATTCCCGGTCAGGGCACATGCCCGGGGCTGGGGGCTCGATCCCCAGTAGGGGGCGAGCAGGAGGCAGCCGATCAATGACTCACCATTGATGTTTCTATCTCTCCCTCTCCTCCCTTCCTCTCTCTGAAATCAATAAACGCATATTTAATTAAAAAAAAAAAAAAAAAGACAGGCCAAGGAGCTTCCAGCCCTGGACCCAGGGAAATTCAGAAGCCAACAGCTTGGCAGACCTTTCTTGGATTTTTAATTCCAAGCCTCTCAAAGGTAAGAAGATGGCATATTGATTGACGATGTTCCAATGTGGGCCCCAGAGACCTTCAGCACAGGAGAACCGTAGCAGACACCAGACCATCTGTTGCTTCTCTGGCCTAGCACCCCTTGTCTTGGGTGACTGGTCCTCCCCCATACCACTGTCGCTTCTGGAGGGAATGCCAGTCACAGAACCCCACCCCCTTGGCCCGGACATCCACAGGAGTGAGCGTGCAACTTGTGCAGGGCCAATCCGAGCCCTCTGTGGGCTTTGAAATGGAGAGTGCCTCTCTCAGTCTTGGGGATGGTGAACCCTGTGGCTGTAGGCTAGGGGGTGCTGGCAGCCACTTCCACCAGGTAGGGGAGAAGATGAGCCCGGTGTGCGAAGAGATGCAGAGCCCAGAGACATGGGTAAAGCCGAGAGGGAGAGGGGGTAGCCCTGGAGGGGGAAACTGCGTGGGCCTCGGGCCCCCTGCTCCACATGTAAAAGCTGGACTGCTGATGGCAGACCCTGGTCTCTGGAGTCAGCAGATCCAGATTCCAGTTCTCAAAAGCCACTTCTAACCCCAAGTCAAGGAAAGGCTTCTCCCTCCCTCACTGGGTGCTAGTCCTACACAATAAGTGCCCAGGGATTGCTAGGGCAGCTTACCCCAAAATCCTTCTAGGATAACACGTAGTTTTTAGAGGCAAGCTAGAAATTCATCTAAAGATAGTTTACAGGATCACAAATTGCTCTCTGCGATAAGTGCCTGGTCGCATAGGAGCAATTGGCCTGAGGATGTCTCTAGTCTCCCTTCCTCTCTCTCTCCCTCACAAGTGCACACACACAGCTTGATGCAGGATGCAGTTTTAGATTTTGTTCCTATACCTGAGAAGCAAACGGAAAACTACAGAGGTGGACAAGGCTCCCTCCATTCAGGAGGAAGAGTGTCTCCTTCCCCCTGCTCCAGGTTTGGGGGATTGAGGCTGAGGTTGGTAGGGAGTAAGCTTGTTCTTCTTGCCCCATGGTGCCAAGCCTGCAGGGAGGCAACGATCCCCACGGTCATAAACCCACCCTTTGGGCAAGGCCCAGTGACTCTGGGCGTTGGCCAGAGACCACCCCCAATGGTAAGCAAGGTTATGAGATAAAAGTAACGCTGAGCCTCTAGGACCCGGCTGGAGCCCAGGCTGCCTGCTAAGCCATTTCAATGAGGTCTCTCCCAGGCAGACAATGCAAGTGAGTGACATGGGCCAGGGGTGGGTCTAGAGAGAGGGGTGGGGACTGGCGTAGCCCTTCCAGGGTAACAACTGTGCTTGTTGCCTTTACGTGGCAATGGTGGCCCTGTTTTGCCAATATTCCCAAATGCCTAAGGGAAACCAAAAATCCTGATTTCTGGGTGAAATGCCCCAATTTCTAAATCACTCTATAGGCAAAAAAA